AGGAAAGCAAAGAGTCTCCCTGAACTGGACGTAGGACAGCACATATTCTTTCAACATTTGGAAGGAAGAGATTGGAAATTTGGTGAAGTCTCCAACATACTAGGCCCAAGCACCTATGAACTCAAAAGACCTGATGGAAGCACATATCGACGAAAGAGAGTTCACCTTAGGCCCACACAAGTAAACCTCAAGACTCGAGACACTTCCCCATCTCATGTCCCTCACTCTTCCAACCAAACAGCGTCTGCCAAATCTTTACCTGGTGAAGTGGCAAATAACAGTGACAACAATGCAAGCAACCCCCAAAATGCTCAGCCCAACAGCCTTGCAGTAAATAGATGTAACTGTTTTTATTGACACTCCAAAAATTTTAAGCTTTCTTTTCTTTCTCCCAGAAGAAGGGATGTTGATTGGCTATCTCATCTGGTTGTCAGAATTAGCATAAATTATCATATGTACGAGAGTTTTACCAAGCCCACCCCTCACAGTTTAGTGACGTTCAGCAGTACTAACAAATAAGGTGGTGAACACGTGCGTGTGAAAAGAAAAATGAACAAGAAGTTTGTGAGAGTGCGAGTTTTTTCTATTGGCTGTTTATTGTTCGGCTCACATATGTAACGAGAGACCACGAGGTGAAATAAACATGGCAGTTGTGTTCTAGAATCCTAGTGCTCTTTGCTCGCCGCTTACTACTCTTTCTCTTTAGTCAACTCTACAAATCAACATTTAATTGCACAATCATGTAAAGCAGTTTGTACCTTTCAGCATAAAGCCACAGGAAACTTCTCTCAACTTGTCAGCCAAAATATTAAAGATGGTTTGGTTGGTAAAACATCAAACTGACTGCATCACCAAAAACTGTACCCACCTTTGCAATGTCACATGAAATTGACATCTGAAACATCCAATCCAACTTCAAGGTGTCATTATGCAACACATCCTGAAAAAAATTCCAGTTATGAAAAAAGTGCACCAAGATCCAGTTGGGTGCAAGAGGTGCTGATAATTTGTCATTTTAATTAAATCAGTCCTTATTTTACCTGGAGACTTCCTTTGTTACAGTATTGAGTTATGATGCAAATGTTTCCGGGATCAATACAAGCACCAATGAATGTGTTGACATTTTGATGGTTGATATCTTTCATCTGAAGAAATAAAGACCTTGTTATAGCAATTGCATGTTGAAATAAATAGATGAACATTTTTACAGTCTTCTGTTTTTCAGATACATCTGATATATACATCTGATTCAGACATTTCATTAGGTTTTTCAAAAACAGCAAAGCAAATTAATACTTCAATTTGATGTTTTACCTCTTTTAGTTCCAACATCACTTCACGTTCCAGAGCAACTTTTGCCTTGTGTAATTTTTTGACTGCCACTGAATTACCCTGGTAAGAGTCAGACAGTCCATACTTGATAAATGTTACAGTACTGTATTTGTTTGGGAAAAGCTTAACTATGTATTTCCTGTAAACAAATCTTTACTAGAAACATTGATTTCATGTTTGCTAAAAACGACAGCCCCAAGATAAGAAATTTGGTAAACAGACATGCAAACTAGTATTTGTCACTGATGATGAATGCAGAAAAAAGTTGAAGAGAACCTCATAAATTCCAAGAACAGCGAATATTTGTCCTCTAATATCATCTAATGCATCGCCCTGGTCACTTCCTGCCATACTTTGCTGTAGAGAAGAGACAAAGGGAGTAATCAATTAGTCTAAATAGCATTGAACAGATGCCCATATACATTACTGGACTATTTTGTGACACATTTCAAGTTTTTCAATTTCTTTCTGTTTATTAACAATATTTTGTTGATATACGAAAGGCTTAAGAAGAAAGCAGTACAAAATCTATAGTGGCTGGAGAATATGGTTGAAAAGGTGACTAGAAAATAATACAAAATAGAAACTGACATTGAGTGTAATTATATCATTGACATACCATGCTCTTTCTACTTCCTAGCTTTCCTTTGTTCTTTGGCCATTTTATATCATCATATTTTACTTTCCACGTTTGAGCCAACAGAGATGCTTCAAAAGCTTGTTTCCTATTAAACCACGTAAAAAAAACTTTTTAAAAATTGGGAAGAGATTTCAGGAACAGTTATTGATATTTTGGCAGGCTCAAGTCTTATTCTATACCATTTCTCATCCATGCCATTGAAATTCATGTGATTGCTAATTTTTTAAAACACTTTATGAGCTTACCTTTGCCACAAAAAGAATCCCACCAGAATTAAAACAACCAAAACAAAGGCAAGAGATCCTGCCAGGATGTATGGCCAAGAAGGATCCTCCTCTAGAAGAAAAAAGTTCTAACAAATGACACCAATGATGAACTTAAAGATATGATTACGTTGAACATATCACTTCACCTAAAGTGCACCATAACCCGGGCCTTTTGACATTAAACTAGCGTAACAACCCAATATTTTTTAACTGCTTCTCTGCATGCTTGAGCTAACAATTTTCTTCTGTTTGATGTTTTCAAATTCTGTACAGGGAACTCATTCGTGTTCAACTAGATTTTTTACATGTAAATCTCTCCTTTACCTTTTGCAGCCTGTTGGCAAAATTCATTGTCAAAACCACATGGTGGCCTTCCAAGAGGAACCTTAGTGGTGCCACCAGGCCACATGACTGTTTTATTCAAAAGCTGAAGTTCTCCAGTTGTGCCAAAAAAATTAGCAATCCTTACAATTGACATGCCAGGTAGAAATGATTGCAGACTGTAGGAGGCAACTCTGTCTCCCTTTTCATCAATACCAACTGGACCTGATACACCTGTTAACATTAGAGAATCAAGAATTAACCTCAGCTCTTTTACACATAAGTACTGACAAGTTTTTTTCCTTTCTTTGGCGTTCAGTGATACTGTGTACTTGAAATTTCATTGTTATTGTACGAAACTAACACAAAGGAAGGTTTTGTATCTAAAGTAAAAAGTAGATGACATCTTAATATTAGTTGAAAGGAATATTTTAAATTAATATTGAATTTTCAACTCCAAATATTGGATTTCTAATGATCTGATTGGTTCATTTAACCCGGGTCATAAGCTCTTATTACATTCTCAACTCAGAACATTGCATTTCTAGTGTTCTGATTGGTTACACCTCTTATTCTGAGTGTTCTGTTCGATAACACCTCATATTTTGAGTCACCCTATATGGAAATGTATTATGGCAACTGTTTTGGAGCTGAAAAAGCTTAAAATCGCCAAGTGTTGAGGATTTAATGAAATTAATAATGGCTCATGAAATATTTGTTAATAATTATGTAAATCTAGATGTGTGTCAGAATGGATCCATCTCATCAAAAATTTAGCCTTAAAAGCAAGCTTACCAACGAATTGCCTTCCCATCATTGACTTAGACAAATTTGCCCCTTCGGTTATGGCCACACCCTCCGCCAAAGTTTCATTGAGGGCATATGCATATAGAAGAATGGCATCATGAAGGTAAGCAGCATAAATGTTAGTCTAGCAGAAAGAAGTATTAATGTAGTTCAGTCATTTGATGATCATTTAGTGTGTTGGATTAGTTTTGTCTTTTGTTTTGTTTCATTTCATTTCACGAATCACAATTGAGGATTTCAGGTGTAATGGGTAATGCCTTGCTAATACATTTTAGGGTACATTTCCAATTAGTAAGAGGGGCACTTACTTCATTAGGTGCATTGATTGTGTAGTTCATTTCAGGCATCCTGTTGTAAACACCAGTTGTAAAATCTGCGTAATCCTGTGAATCTGGAATATACTGACTAATATCAATGATTCCTTCAAAAGCTTTGCAAGCCTCGTCATCTCTGTCATCACCAGCCTGGCATGAAGCATAAAGTGTCTCCATGCTAACTACCACGTAATCCCCATTCAACAAGCCCAGCTCACTGAGGATAAGCATCAGACTTCTAAAGACATCACCATAGCAAAGTAACAAGAAAACTGTAAAGAAAAGATAAATTTACAGCTCTATTTTATGGTGATCTTTAAATTTAGCTTAGAGCAGTCAGAAATTGAAATAAAGAACATAAAAGTTCATTTTTTACATATATGTTTTTGTATCCTTGTCTTCCATCAGGCTTGTTTTTGTTACTTACCATGTGCCTTGGTTACCATTGACTTAACCATGGATTTTAGTTTGACGATGTCAGCTGCTGCAGGGACAAAGCTCCCAAAAAAGGGCACTGAATATTTGCCATCTTGCTCCAGGGTGACCTTTGCTGCATTCGCAATCTCTGAAAAAACTGTTTCTGTTGAAGACATGAAGCCTATGCGATCCCAATTGTAATGTGCTAAGATGCTCTTTAGGAGGTTTCCCATACCAATGTATGTGCCAGCTGTCCGTACAAAGTAAGGATACAAAGTTTTGTCTGATAATGCTGAAGCTGCGCATCCCCAAGATATCATAGGAATATTCCAGTGAGCTGCTATATAGGCACCAGGGACACATCCCACTGAACATCCAGGGCCAATGTAGACATCAATTTTAGGGTTTTCTACTGTGTAGTAGTCCACCACAATTCCAAGAGATGTTCCTGCGTCACATTTGCTGTGTTTAAGTACAAAGGTCAGGTTATGTCCTTGAAGCCAATAAGGATCATTGTTTACTTTGTCCATGGCAATCAGGATTGCTGATGCCATCTTGGAACCAGCAGGCCAACTACCAGTGAAAGGAAGAAAGACCCCCATTTTGATATTCCTTGTATCAGAGAGAGAAACAAAACAGAGGATCGACCCAAGCACAAGTAGAGAATTCATTATTGTTTCCTCTGATCATATGTTCCTGAAAAAAATAAAAAAATCCTTAATTAAAGAGGAAACTTTCTTTGGCTTATTAGTATTACAAAGGAAGTTATACCACCTAGCTTCACTCAGGAGTGACCACATTACTGTCTCATGAGAAATTGATCTCTGTTGTTTGCGGCAAGTTCGTTGGTCGAACTGGGGAAGTGTATGCACATTTCCTAGCTACTTATTTGATCTATCGTTCATATTTAAAACTTTCTATAAGAGCTTTTCAAAGCCTGACTTTAAAAAACTTATTTTTTATTTTTCCCTTTGTTTTTGCGATAGGTTTTTCTAAAAGCTTTATCAGTTCGCGTTCGTCAAACACAACAGATGAATTACGTAGATGGTTGATGTAATTTAGCACAGGTTGAATAACTTGCAATTAAAAATATTAAATAAAATAAAAGTGAAGGTCATTCATCTCAAATAAAAGAGCATCTTGGCTGGGTGATGTCGAATTTCAGTTGATTCATCTTTTCTTGAAGTTAAGTTTCCTCAAAGAACAGATTACGATGTCGTTCTTTTAGCATCTCAGCAAATATTACTTTAAATTGGTATTTGTAAGAAACACCAGCAATTTTGGTGAATATATGACCAAACCGAACAATTTTCATTACAAGGGGAACATATGGAGAGGAGTTGGGCAGGAAAATGGCGAATATTCTTACTCTTTGTCTTTTCGCAGTCTTTAGTACTTTGCCACTATGGCAAAATCGCGTATATTCGCCTTTATGGCCGCTGTTGAGAATGTAATATTTTTAGGAGGCACTGAAAAGTTTCGATCCAAACGAATATTCAAAGTATTACATTTATAACGATCAAGTAACCTAAGAAAGAGTTTTTTCCCCTCGTACTTATTCATCAAGTTAGTTACCTGGGGTGACCTTTCGTTGAAGTAAGACAAGCCGGGCAGAAGACCCTTAAATCGCTAAAGAACTTTGTCCAGACTGCGGAAATGCCAACTTGTCGTAACAGGATAGAATATTTGTTAATTGATTAATTAGAAAATTATCCTTACTCGATTTAAAACCCATTCATGCCATAACTTTTGGGGTTAAATTGCAGCTAGTGGAGCGATACCATGAACTACTTTGAACTTCGCCTTTGATTGTAAACTCAAACAAACTTTTCCGTATAAATTTTAGTTACTCACGTTGTGAAATTCCTGACAAAACCTTTTTCACTGATCTACTAAATCGACACTCGTGACTTCTTCTGAATGGGGAACCCCTCTAAAACTAACCAGAAAAGACAATAAAACTACTATAGCACAATCGCAGATGTTTTAAAGAAGAACTCCTTAAACTCGGGAGGCGTTGACGCAAAGATTTCTTTCTTACGAAAAATCGGCGCGAAACACCACTTGAAATCTGATTGGTCAGAATATCGGACAGCGCATTCTGATTGGTTTGTTCAAAGAAACCTTTGACGAATTCCCGCCTCTTTTTCCATGACGTATTTGCAAAGTGTGCACACGACATAAAGTAAAATTTCGAAACGAGCGCACAAGGGATAGACAGTGAAGCGGAAAAATTAAAAATGCTTCCTAGTTTGAGATGGATTGAAACGATTCCTATTCTAGTTTCACGTTGAAAACAATGTCGAAACGTTTTTATAGCCTTCTGTGAAATGCTCAGTGTAAGACAGCTCTCTGATACAGGTAAGGCGGAGCTGAGTGGAGGGGTTGGGACCTAAGTGGAAGGGTCGGGGGCTGGGCGGAGGTGGGGGTGACCGGGTGGGGGGCTGTCACTCCCACATGGTAAAATGAAATTGTTTTATTTGTAAAAAGTTGCGACAGGTTAGACCTCCAAAGAGGCTTTCACTACCACTTCCTGTCTTCATTCATCTCCTCTCTGCAAAATAATGTTCCCTTGAGTGAACCCTGTGCCGTATCTTTATATTTTCAGAACTGAGATATTTGCGGAGGTTCTTTAATCTTTCCGCGCTCTCCGCCATTATTGAAATAATTTCGTGCGGCCTGCAAGTGACACAATATTTAAACATTAGAGTGTTTCTGTCGAGAAACTATCGGCTGATAGTTGCCCCGCGAAAATTTGATGTTCTTAAAACTAATATTTGCCCGAGAAGCGAAGCTTCGAGGGTAAATATGCTAGTTTTAAGAACATCAAATTTCCAAGGGGCAACTATCAGACCGATAGTTCCGAGACATAAACACTCTATTGTTTTTATTACGTATGATGGACGATCCTCGCAGTAGAGAGCGCTATTTATGCAATAGCGAAAATCAGACCTGAAAAAATCAGGCCTGAACGGGATTCGAACCACTGACCTCTGCGGTACTAGTGCAGCGCTCTACCAATTGAGCTAACAAACCAACTGGGAGTAGACCGTTAATTCATCAGATATGATGAATGTTCCCTCAACGGAATTAATGATTAACAGACAATAGGCAAACTTTGATTGACACTTAGGAACAATTTTCACTTTGAATGGTTTTAGTTTCCTGTCTACTCATAGCTAGTCTCCCTCGCAGCCGTTTTTAGTCTCGTCACGCAACGCTACGGCTGCGAGGGAGACTAAGTCATAGCACGTTTAGGAAAAATGTGAATCAGCCGCTTACCAGGTACAGGAGTTTAAGTTCGCCGAGTTCGGTAATTCAAGCCGCAGTTTTAGTTCAGTAGTTCATAG